AACTGGCATTGATTTATGAAGGAAAGCGATTCCAAACAAATTGTAAGGAATCTGGCTTGTGTAAAGTCAATTTATATCACTTCTTGGCCTTTTCAGTGCTTCCTGTTAGCCTACATCTGTCTATCATTCTGAAACTTCATCATTGCTTTTTAACAATCTCAGAATTTTCCTCTTCTACAGAATTAATGGTATGTTTTGTGGAATTTTCTGCAACCCAGTCTCTATAAACTGAATACCCCCTGTCTTGGTTTCAGCTTTCTGCCCTTGAGTTTTGGGATTTTTTTTTCTGTTCCTTTCCCATATTTTTTTTTTTTACTACATTGTGCCTCTTGCCCTCTATTTTGGTTGCCTGTTTATTGATATTTGCCTGTTGATACGTACCTTAACTTTGCTTTGTCTTGCATACTGACTACCTCGGTTTTCTGTCTGTGTCATAAAACAAGCTTAAATTTGCCTGTTAGACCCTCTGCTTATATGCCGCCTGAATTTATCTTTGCCATTTTGGTGTATACACTCTTGCGTATTAATTATGGTAATTTAATTTAGTTGCCATTCACCTGCCATCTATTACTAGTGCAGAAAGTGCTGTGACCTGTAGCTGCAGGCACTTTGGAATAATTAACTCTCACCATTTACAGCAGAAGCAATGCAGCCATTCAAGTTGTCAGCAGCTCAACTCACCCTGTTCCACACTCCCAGAGCACCTGCCCTGTGTTAACATTAGAGATTAGAAGGCTAGATGGCTGTTGAGTCACTGCTGGAAAGGGGAGTAGGGTGAGCGGAGTTGCTGATTTCAGCACTTTTGCTCTGTACTTTGAGGATGGATTACAAAACTGGTGTGTTGTGGTAAGACAATGCTACACATGTGGTTGGCATGCATGACATTTAGGGGGTGAAATCTTCCGGAGCTTACGTGATTAAATTCACAGCCACAGCCTGCTGCAATGTTATTAGCCCATGGCTGAAATCATCCTGTTGATGTTATCTGTGCAGTGTATCACCATAGACTTCCAGAGACTGAAGATGCTCACAGATGGTGATTTAAAGACAAGAGCAGTCAGACATGCTGCCTGAAATTTACCATTATTGTTAGTTTATACACTGTAGTTTACACTTTATGAGATTCAACAACTGCAAGCAATGTCAGTCTGGAGCTCCAAATGCTAAAAATATAGTTTATTACATTAAAGGACGTACAGACCCAAAAGAGATTTTGTCTAAATTTTGGCCTTAACATCTTGTATTTTCAGTCCAATTTTGAGCAGCAGCTCATAAAAAAGGATGCCCTGAAACTGGGAAGTGTGCAGAGAGGGAAATACCTTATTAATGGACATAGAAGACTTAAGTAAGTATTAACAAATATTAAATCAACTGAATCTATACACCCTTGAGGTTATCAGGAATGAAAAGGTTTGCCTTATAAAAATAAATATACAACATATGCAAAAAGTCATTAAAAAGCTATTTACTTGAAAATCACAGCAGGGCACCCTTTGTACTCGAAAAGAGAATTAATATTCAGCTGTGAAACACTTTTATCTAACTGCCAATAGGGGCCAAGAAAGGTATTTTGCAGTCATCTGGAATAGCTTGAGTTTTAGGATGCATTTTGTAAAGTTCAATGTGATGGGCATATGTCTTTTTCCAACACAAGGAAAAATGAAATGTCAAGGGACATTGCTAGAAATGTGCTGATGCAAAAGTCCATACCGTCATGCTTAGCTCCCAACCCATATTACCTATTGTATTGTGCCTGGAAACATATTAAAAGTGTGCAAATGTTTACTCTTATACACACAGAGAGAGAAATATTACAGAATAAGTTGCATACCCCAATATTTGTCACAGGACAATCATAACTGAGTGAGTTGTTTGTACAATCTAAGCTCCAAGTCATGACTTGGAGCTAAAGTTGGCCATACAGCAGGAGAATTTTGTTTGAAAATTTTTATTTTTGGAACATTCTTTCAATCTTCTACCACAGAGTTTTCAAACCATTGCTCATTTTCCACCACAGTGATGATAAAATTTGAAGGCACAGGATGGAATTTTTTTCTCAAACAAACAAAATTCAAACTGTGAATCAGGTTTTTGTTCAGGAAAAAATTTTACTTATTGTAATGAAACATGTTTAGTACCATCTAGGATTCCATTCAAATAATAGGGCTAAACAAAATTGTAAGGGCTTTTGAACAAAATTATATGTCTTGCTGTTGTTAAGAAAAATGTTCTGGCAAAAAAAAAATTTCAATGAATGTTCGAAGGAATATCTAGTTGGGCAGCTTTTTCCTCTTCTCCTAACTCCTGTGAGTGAACAGGTTAATGACGAGAATGCCTGAACAGGGTCATGATTAAAATGATAATGAGCACATAGTATTTAATGCAGCTTAGTTTTCAGTTTACTAATAAAGGGGGGTGGAACAAGGAGCAGAGCAGGGCAAAGGCTTGTCATGGGGCAAACAATAGAGATCAGGGCATGTTCCTTATTCTGTAAAATCAACTATTTATTTCGACTAACATTCTGGGGTGGTGTGGCTTCCTGTAGACATGCTTTTGTTACCACTCATAGGGAAATATGATGCTGTCCATCATGTTTTCTAGTGCCAAGCTTCTAACAAATCCTTTAATACAGCCATCATGTAAAAGAAGTACTGTATATCTACATCAAAGGAGGGTTTATAGAAAGTACCATCTCAAATAATTGCAAACATTTACAAAACATGCAAAGTACTGGAGATAAATATTTAAAGCTGGAATCGTGATGTGATCTCACAGGTTTTCTCACAGGTTTACTTTCTGTCTTATACTCCTACTGAACAGCAATACAGACATTTTCCCTTGGCCAGTAATATAAAACAACAGATTTTTATCCAGCAACATGGCATATGTTAAAAGCATGCAATATATTTCAAGGTACGTAAACATTTAATGGAATAGCTATAAAAGATTATTAATAGCTCCTCCATTCACTTGTGTTTTAAGTTTACAAGCTATTAAATACTTCCTGTATTTGTTGTTGGGCCCCACACATGGTATAATGAAGACAGTATGACTCTATTTCTGTTAAATGCAGTTTGTGTGATTGGTATAACAGAATTATCTAGGAAATTAAAGAGACGACACACTAGGCAAACAGGGATCCATTTATCTATGTTGCTGCTTAAAGCTGACCTAGCATTAAATATTTTTTCATGCACACATGCTAGGCAAACTGTGAGCATAGAACATACAGGTATTTATTACCTTCAAGGAAAGCACAAACTTCCCTGATTTTACTTTCATATTCCTTCTCTTCAGAAGGCCAGTATCATTTTTTTATACTGACCCAGGGATGACGGATCATGTAAAACCTGCTGTTCATGCAGTACTCAACATGTTCTGTGTGTAGTCACCATGTCAACAAACAAACGTGATGGTACTGCAACAAGGTTATGCAATTAGGGTCAGCTAGAGCTCTCTGTTTAAACTCAGCGTGCCAGACCTACGGTCTTCACTCTGCAACAGAGAAGTCCTTCCATGAAGATAAAGTTGGCAACCAGGTGAGTGTAAATAAAATCTCTATTTACTTTGCCCAAGGAGTACATATGTTGAAAACAGAGCCAACACCAATGCGTTTCAGCCTGTCAAGGCCTTACTCATGGTTCAGGCTGAAACGCACTAGTGTTGGCTCTGTTTGGAACATATGTACTCCTTTGACAAAATAAAAAGATATTTTTTTTTTACATTCACCTTGTTGCTGACTTTATCTACATGGAATGTCATGCACAATGCAGGCCCCTGCTGCAGTTTGTTTAATTATGTGATCTGACAGAAAATGAGTGTACAGTCTAAGTGAATGAGAGAGCATGGGAGGAGCAAATATGGAAGAAATGGTTCCTCTGGCTTGCAGCAAATCCAGCTTGTCAGCACGCTTTTTTTGGGATGACCATAGAAAAGTGTCACTTAAATGAAGCTCAAGGGTTATTTTTTGCTATTAAAACATACCATTTTCTTCTTTAGAAAAATTATACCGTTGCTGTGTACTGTGACATACAAACCTGTAAAGTTAATTATAGCTCTGCTTCAAGGAGCAACTCTTTCTTCTAATTCTGACATTGTTTGAGTAAAGTACTGTACATCACCTCTGTGATGGCTGGTTCTCCTCTTGCACTAGGAATATCCTGCAATTCTAAAAGCTGGAGATTCCCAACTTTGCCCATTTAAGTTCTTCTACAGTGTAGTTATACATACGTCTGATTTTTAAGAAAGAAAGTACTTGAGTCCTGGTTCAAACAAACCCTTCCTAATTTACAGAAAGACCAGCCACTGGCAATAGGCTGTAGACCTGTTCAAGCCCTTTCTAAAAGTTCTGGAGGAGAAGTTGAAATAATGATTTTACATATTGCTTTCAGTTGCTCTTAAGTGTATTTTGTGTGGAGGTGACATGCAAAGCACATACTGTACTTCAATACTTCAAAGTAGGTCTTGAACTTTCTAGAAATAGCCATAGAAGAATTCATACCACAAGATGAGAGGTTTTTTTTTTTAGCAAAAGGACACGAATGAAAAGAGCAAAAAATTAGCAATAGCTGTCTTGATGGCATGTATAATAATCATAGATCTACCTGAAGGAGTTGGGCAAAAAAAATTAAAACACTATATGATTTGCAGGTGTGAAAGTGACTACGTTTCGTGTTGAAAGCGAAAGTGATGTAACACTCTTTTGCTTCCACTGTGTGATGAGACACCTAGCTAACAGATGGAAAGCCGGACTTTCGTCATTCACTTCACGCGCTGCTAGTAATATGGAGTCATGTTAGAGCTTACTGAGGGCAAATTGTTGGTGCCCGCTTAGCTGGTGTCTCTGACTGAAGTTGCCAATTTATTTGCTGTGTCATGAGGTATGGTATCAAAGGTTGTGGCGGCGTATACAGTTTCTGGGAAAACATTGTCTGATGCGCATAAGCGCGGTCAACATGGTCAACTGACTGAAAGAGACAAAAGGACATTGTCCAGGATTGTGACTCAGAATAAGAAAACAACTGCTGCAAAAGTGACTGCAGAGCTCAATCTAAGTCTTCACGCAAAACTTGTCGTCACTTTGCAAACCATGTAGTGTTTCCATTTTTCTGTCTAACCCCTGTATATTTCAGATAACCTTGGTAGTACTGTAGAGATGAAGAAACACTAAGCCCAGCTTGATTCATGATATATGTACTCACGTTCATTCATGTTATAACAGGAGAGGTCAGGATAGCTTCTCTGCGTAGGCCTCATAGCTGAAAAATAAAAAACATAATATGGTGAAAATGGGGAAAAAATGAAATTCTCAAAAAACTTCACAGGAGGCAATGTGCTGTATTTATTAGAATAATATCGGCCTTAAAAAAATACATGGGCAAAAAACAGGGAAAAGAATATCCCATAGATAATCAGTGGTAGCGATGGTGAGGGAGATGGGATCAGTGGCAGTGGTGGTGGTGGTGATGGTGGGGGGGGGAGGAGGATGGGATTAGTGGCAGCGGTGGTGGTGGTTGGGGGGGTGGGATTAGTGGAAGCGGTGGTGGTGGTGGGGGGGTGGGATTAGTGGCAGCGGTGGTGCTGGTGGGGGGGATGGAATCAATGGCAGTGGAAAAAAGTATATAGCAAACCTCATTAAAGACAATAGTAACATCACTACAAAAAGTAGTTAAACCTCCATTAAATAAACAAGTAATGAAAAAATATCCAGCAACCTTGGCTTGTGCTTGGTACACATGTACACTTAATATATTGAGCAATCCTCCTCAATAGTAAAGTGTTCCAACAAATTACAGTAAAGGGTTAAACAAGTGGTAACAGGGCTGCCCAGGGTGATCAAATGAAACCGTTCACTAGGTCCCACCAGACATGTGTCCACCAACCACCTTTACTAGGTTTTGAGGTTAAAGCCGCTGACTTTAAACCTCTCCAACCTGGCGCTCACAGCCGGCTCATATAAGCTGGCCTGTGACGTCACAGGGCCCCGCTCTCAACTGCGCATGCACAAAGAATTCCCAGGCATGTGCAGTGCCTAGATAAGAGGCCTCCACTGATGGGCAAAAACAAAGCAGCCATACATCAAAACTAGAAAAAGCAGTGGACGGCAGGCAGCGAGCAGCAGGCCCACGTACAGTGGCGGAAAGCCAGGGCCCTGACGTCCGGGCCCCTCGAGACGCCCGGGTCACCTACATATGAAAGGGCTGTTCCCCCCTGATGGCAGCCCCACTTTAGGCTGATGGATATTCTAACTTTTAGACTCTCTTCCTTCCCATTTTGGTGTCTCAGGTGTTCCAGCCAAATGGTGTTCCTTCCTTTTTCACAATATAAGACAAAAACAAATCACCTAACAGGGACAGAAGAACCACCTTCCAATGCCTGCAGCTGATGTGCATAAATGGGTTATCCATAAGGTATTAAAAAAAACATTAAAAGAATAAACTCTCCAGAACTCAGTATCTGAAATATTGGTTTTGGTTGAGCACACTATTTATGTTTTCTTCTAAACAAAGCATCAAAACACAGGAGAGCAGGATCTAATGAACTGTTTATTACTGAAGTTTGTGTTTTGCCTGTATTTTCCCGTTAAGAGCAAAGTATCAGAATGACTGGATAGCAGGTGCTCTCTGCTGCTAGTACATACCTCCAACTTCTCTGCTGCCCACTTAGCCTGCCAGAGACCCCGACCCCCAGTACATTGCTGGGTTGGAATTTACACAGTAATCATAACCCCCTCCCCCCACAGGACAGCCCTCTGGCTTGGTAATTGGTATTCAAGCACCATTGGCTGAGTAAAGAATAGGTTTACTCTAATATTGAGAATAAGAATTTCTCATTACAAATACAGTACTAAAAGATTGGCTTTTTCTGGAGAAGATCATTTTCAGCCTCAAACTTATAGTAGAGAACACTTGCTCAATTCTATAGAACTAGGCAGTTGAGGGAAATCTGAACCCCCTACAACATCAATGAACACATTATTTATTAAATCTGCCCAAGATTCACTTTTCCTTACCTTCTGTGCCATTTCCACCTTGGTAAGAATGTGGTCTGTTTGACTTTGCTGATATTTCTTTGGTCTTAAAAAGAAAAGCAAAGTAAATAAATAAGTACCAAAGAACAAAGCTATGCATATGGTGGAGAGAGCACATTATACAGTCAAGGCTTCATTTATAAAGCCTGTGGTAGGATGTGTTCTGCCCTTAAATAGTCAAGCCCTTAAATAGATATTTTATGGGTAGAATTTATGGGTAGTCTTTCTTCTATTGGTGCCCATACATTGCCTATTGTACAGGAAGGGCATTCTGAAAGTTCTGCTCAATTCTACAATAGCACATTAACAAAAACTCAAAATAAATTGTGAGGGGACTTACTTAAAGTATAACTAAAGGCACATTTGTTTTTGTCTTGGATAGAGTGGATAGGGATTAGAACACCTGTCAGTTTTTATTACTGTCTGTGCCCCCATTAAAGAGATTCACCCTATTTGTCCTGTTTACCATCATCATTGAAAGTGAAAGTAAAAGAAAATCCCAAAATTTGGGTTGTCCCCAGAAAAGTAATAGATGGGAAACTTCCAATGGGGACACTAGTTCTGGTGATCTGGGGGTCCCCAAGGAATTATTCTAATTTGCAGGGATTTCCTCTCACTTCCTGTTTGGCTATGGGACAGGAAGTGAAGGGAAATCTCTGCAATGAGACACAGATGTAAAAATAAAATCCGACAGGGGTTATAACCCTCCCTTGCTCTATCCAAAATGGAAAAAAAAAAACGTGCTGCCTATATTTCTACTTAAATTTACAGTCAGTAAGTTCCAATCTACCCTTAGACATTATGTGCAAGCAATTTTCATGGCAGACCTCAGCAATAACCCTGGCTGATAGACTAGCCCAAGACTACAATGGCACTATTTCTGTTGGCTTAGTGCACAGTCATGCAGGTAAAATGATATCATTGTGAAAGTATATAGATGAAATACATACTGTATAGGAGAGCTGTTTTACCCACCAAAAGATTTGCATTTCTGGCCACTCAATCCTAACATTTATACAGCTCTGCCACACAGAACAGGCAGGCAGGGGAAAGGGACTTGATCTTTCTCTGCTGCAGTTCCACATTCACTTACAAGTCTGACCCTCACTCTGTGACTAGACAGTAAATAGGAAAACCGCATACTTATACACTAGTTTCTCTGTGATTCTATTCTCTCCTCCTATCAGCATGGTCCTTGCTCTGAAGCACACCTAAATAGCTCTGTATGCTGCTCTCCACCCTTTTTTCTGAGCTCTGCTATACAGTAGACACTAAACAGCTAATACCAAGTTGAACTTAGATAATTACACTGCTTGCATTTAAAGTTGAAATCTAGGCAAATATAAAGCATACAATGTAATGCAGTTCTGTAATCATTATTACAGCACTAAAAATATTTCTAAATGCAAGCAGTAAAAGTACCTGAATGTGACTTGGTATCAGTCTTGCAGTCCCTGTACAGCAGTCCTGGAGTGCCAGATGAAGAAGCAGCACAAGTAGCCAATCAGTTCATGTGCTGAAATAAACCATGCTGATATGAAGAAAAAGCACAGTGAGAGAGATGAGCTGTTTCTTTCACCGTCCATTTACAGGCTGGGTTTGGACCAGGATGACCTGGGCTCAGCAAAAGTGGGTTGAATAATGCTGGCCATCAGGATGAGGACATGAAGCAGTAGAAAAAAAAAAAGTATTGCGGCGCAAATCTCTTGACTGAATTTGAATATTACAGAAAAGATGTTTTGTTATCTTGTTTTTTTTAATGGAAGTTTTGCTTTAAAAATTCTGTGTATTTAATACAGAGCTACACTAAATTATGCCTTTTATATTTGCCTTGAGTTCAACTTTAAGTGTCAATGGATAATGGTAGGATATGTCAACATGATCTCTGAATAACCATTGATGTATGGCCATGTATATCATCTTCACAGTCTCCTCATCTTCAAACACCTATCCCTCCAAACAGCAAACAATTACCCGCAGAAACCTTCACAACTTGAACCCTTCTTTTTTCCACTCTGCAACTGACCAACTCTATGACAGAATCTCTCCCCTGTCCTGCCCTGAACTGGCCACTCCTGTCTACAACAGTTCGCTTTCATCCACATTAGACTCACTTGCTCCCCTAACTACACAAAGCATCAGGCCCCAACCATTACAACCTGGGCAGACTGACGACACCAGACATCTTAAACGACATAGTCGTGCGCTGGAATGATTGTGGCGTAAAACCAAATCTCAACAAGCATTCGTCTTGTGTAAATCTGCTTTCTTAATATACAATTCCTTCCTTCATGCTCCCTCACTCACATCTTCAATCTCTCCCTCTCTAACAGTGCCTTCCCCTCCCCTCTAAAGCATGCACACATCACTCCTTAAAAATCCCTCCCTGGACCCCACCAACCTGAACAACTTAAGACCCATCTCCCTGCTGCCATTTACCTCTAAACTCTTAGAAAGCTTAGTCTACAATCGCCTGAGCTCCCACCTCACTGACAACAACCTTCTTGACCCTTTACAGTCTGGCTTTCGCTCACTCCATTGAAACTGCCCTACTAAAACTCACTAATGATCTACTAACTGCTAAAACCAATGACCCACTACTCCATACTCTTACTACTTGACCTCTCTGTGGCTTTTGATACAGTTGACCATCCCCTCCTCCTCAAAAAACTCCACTCTCTTGGCCTCCAAGATTCTGCTCTCTCCTGGCTCTCCTCCTACCTATCGCAGCGCTCCTTCAGCGTTACCTATAACGCTGCCTCCTCCTCTTAACTCCCTCTTTCTGTAGGGGTCCCTCAAGGTTCTGTCCTTGGACCCCTACTCTTCTCCATCTACACCTCCTCCCTTGGTCACTTGATAAACTCCCATGGCTCTAAGTACCATCTCTATGCTGATGACACACAAATCTATCTTTCTACCCCTCACCTCACCCCTTCAGCCTCCACTGGCATTACTAACCTACTAAGTGACATATCGGCATGGATGTCACTCCACTTCCTCAAACTCAATCTTTCCAAAACTGAGCTCTTAGTATTCCCCCCAGCCCGTGCCCCCTCCCCTGACTTCTTCATCAAGATCAATAACACAATCATCAGTCCCTCCCCTCATGCCAGGGTACTAGGTATAATCCTAGACTTCCATCTGTCCTTTCAGTCCCAAATCCAATCACTGTCCAAATCATGTAGACTTCACCTCCGCAACATCTTCAAGATATGGCCATTCTTAACCTCAGAAACCACTAAGCAACTTATTCACTCCCTTGTTATATCTCGCCTTGACTATGGTAACTCCCTCCTCATTGGCCTACCTAATCGCAGGCTATCCCCTCTTCAGTCTATCATGAAAGCTGCTGCCAGACTCATCCACTTTACTAACCGTTCTGTATCTGCCACCCCTCTCTGCCAATCTCTCCACTGGCTTCCCATTGCCCAATGGATAAAATTTAAAATGTTAACACTAATATATAAAGCCATTTATAACTCTGCCCCAAATTACATCACCTGATCTTGTCTCCAAATACCACCAAAACCGTACTCTCCGCTCCTCGCAAGACCGCCTACTCTCTAGTTCCCTTGTCTCCTCCTCCCATGCTAGTCTCCAGGAGTTCTCCAGAGCTTCTCCCATCCTCTGGAACTCTCTACCCCAATTTATCAGACTATCGCCTACTCTGCTCACTTTTAGGCGATCTCTGAAAACCTATCTCTTCAGGGAAGCCTATTCTGCCCTCAGCTAATAATGAAATCTTCTACTCTTCCAACCAGTCCATCCCACACAGTTACTACCTTTTGTACCACTAGCCCCTCCCTCCTAGATTGTAAGCTCCAAGGTGCAGGGCCCTCCTATCCCCCTTGTATTGAACTGTATTGTTGCTGTATTGTCTCCTGTTATATTGTAGCAAACTATTGGCGCTATATACCGTATTTTTCGCTCCATAAGACGCACTTTTTTCCCCCCAAAAAAGGGGGGAAAATGTTAGTGCGTCTTATGGAGCGAATATAAAGCTGCCGGTCCAGTATTTCTGCCGCCACCATGTCAGAATACCGGGCCGGCCGCTCAGCTGTTCTCTCCTGCAGGGCCTTACCTGTTCCTCGCTCCAGCGCTGCACAGTCTTCCCCGTGCTGGCTTCTGTGACAGCCGGGTGCCCACTGCGCATGTGCCGCGCTTTGTGAATGATCCAGTGTCTTCTGGGACACATGACAGGTCCCAGAAGGCGCCGGGCCATTCACAAAGCGCAGCGCTTCTCGCGCATGCGCAGTGGGCACCCGGCTGTCACAGAAGCCGGCCCGGGAAGAAGAGGGAAGGACAACTCCGCGGAAGTGGGAGCGGGTACCTGTCAAATTCAGGTACCCGCTCCCCCTCCCTCCCCAAAGGTCAGCAGTCTCTGGTCATTCCCTGCACTGTCTGCAGTCTCTGGTCATTCCTTGCACTGTCTGCAGTCTCTGGTCATTCCCTCTGCACTGTCTGCAGTCTCTGGTCATTCCCTGCACTGTCTGCAGTCTCTGGTCATCCCCTGCACAGTCTGCAGTCTCTGGTCATTCCCTGCACTGTCTGCAGTCTCTGGTCATTCCCTGCACTGTCTGCAGTCTCTGGTCATTCCCTGCACTGTCTGCAGTCTCTGGTCATTCCCTGCACTGTCTGCAGTCTCTGGTCATTCCCTGCACTGTCTGCAGTCTCTGGTCATTCCCTGCACTGTCTGCAGTCTCTGGTCATTCCCTGCACTGTCTGCAGTCTCTGGTCATTCCCTGCACTGTCTGCAGTCTCTGGTCATTCCCTGCACTGTCTGCAGTCTCTGGTCATTCCTTGCACTGTCTGCAGTCTCTGGTCATTCCCTGCACTGTCTGCAGTCTCTGGTCATCTCCTGCACTGTGTCCGTAGTCTCTGGTCATCTACTGTACTGTGTCCGCAGTCTCTGGTCATCTCCTGCACTGTGTCCGCAGTCTCTGGTCATCTCCTGTACTGTGTCCGCAGTCTCTGGTCATCTCCTGTACTGTGTCCGCAGTCTCTGGTCATCTCCTGTACTATGTCCGCTGTCTCTGGTCATCCCCTGTACTGTGTCCGCAGTCTCTGGTCATCTCCTGTATTGTGTCCGCAGTCTCTGGTCATCCACTGTACTGTGTCTGCAGTCCATTGGTTCAGAATATTTTTTTTTCTTGTTTTTCACCTCTAAAACCTAGGTGCGTCTTATGGTCAGGTGCGTCTTATGGAGCGAAAAATACGGTAAATCCTGTATAATAATAATAATGTATGTTCACATCAATCAAGCATGTGTGTTTGGTAACCTGGTCAGACAAATTGTTGACACCTACTTTATCCTGGCAAACAATAGTCATCAAATTAAAAAAGTTACTGCTGTCTAATCAACTATTCTCTTGAGAACTGTCTTATGGGTATGATACCACAGACATAATGATCATTGTCTGATCTGGATAAAATCCATTTTTGTATGTCTATGAGCACCAGCACCATAAGAGGATACTATTTCTTTCTCAAAAGCTCTGATAGCTGCCTTTTGAGACAATGGTTATGCCATATATGGCTTCTGAATGCCATCTTCATTTATCTGTTTCTCACAGCCACTGTCAAGTGTATCTCAACCTGAAAAGCTAAAATCCTCCTGTATATTAGTTACGTTGGCTATTTTCTCACACAAGTACATAGCTGAGCTTGTTCCCACGTTGACATCCAAGGCACTTATCACATCAAAGAAGCAATCACATCTTCATCTCTCCCAATAACATCTATTATAGCCATGCTTAGGAAAGTTAGTACTAGTCCTGACTGAAAGAATATGAACCATATTGGGCACTTGTTAGAAAGGATCTTTTTTTTAAGAAAATAAATAAATACAAAGACAGTGCTGCACAGCCAGTGTTCTGCTAAAGCAGATGTGAATATGCCTTATTGGCTTTCAACATATATCCTCTTACCCGAGAGAGGAAGAACATGTTAACACATTTAACCGTGAGACAACCACATCTAGCACTGATTATTGCATCATGAAATAACATGATGGGAATTGTTATTGGAATCTGAAGAGTGCAATGGACCTTAAAAAAATAGAACCAAATCTATTATTTCTATATTTGTATAAACTATATTTATTAAATGGTCACTAAAATAACTGAATTGTAACTTTAGAAAAACTATAATCTTCATTATAAAAACGTTTATGGTGTCCTCAGACATACAACTTGCAGAAGACAAATAAACTGAAGCCCGTACTGGTAACCACTCCTCCATCTTAGTTCACATGTCAGCACTGAAAACAGCAGGTAAAAGAATGGCGATGCAAGGACACTTGTATGCAGGATTTTGGGTGTGCTCCATGACACCACGTCATATATTTGATTGCCTATGTTGGTACAGAACCATATTCCTATTCACAGGCTGCATAAAGTTGTGGTAAACATATAGAGATGCTGAAATGTGGACAATTCCTAAGTGTGATTTGACCCAGGAACAATCTTTTCTGAATAACATTGCACTTACATTCATGAGAATTTGACAGTCACACAATAAATGCATTTTATAAATTCAACTAAAATCTGAATCTGACTTGGAATTGTCACCCTGTAGTCCTCTGTAGAGATATACTCTGGGAGAGGAAGGGTAGTGCTAGGAGCCAATCAGCTGCAGTTTAAAAATGTTTTAAGGCACAATCAATCTGTAAGGGGAAATCTGACTGCCTGTTACCGTATTTTTCGCTCCATAAGACGCACCTGACCATAAGACGCACCTAGGTTTTAGAGGCAGAAAACAGGAAAAAAAATTCTGAACTAATGGACTGCGGACACAGTACAGGAGATGACCAGAGACTGCGGACACAGTACAGGAGATGACCAGAGACTGCGGACACAGTACAGGAGATGACCAGAGACTGCGGACATAGTACAGGAGATGACCAGAGACTGCGGACATAGTACAGGAGATGACCAGAGACTGCGGACACAGTTCAGGGGATGACCAGAGACTGCGGACACAGTGCAGGGGGTGACCAGAGACTGCGGACACAGTGCAGGGGGTGACCAGAGACTGCGGACACAGTACAGGGATGACCAGAGACTGCGGACACAGTACAGGGATGACCAGAGACTGCAGACACAGTACAGGGATGACCGGAGACTGCAGACACGGTACAGGGATGACCAGAGACTGCGGACAGCACAGGGATGACCAGAGACTGCGGACAGCACAAGGATGACCAGAGACTGCGGACAGCACAGGGATGACCAGAGACTGCGGACAGCACAGGGATGACCAGAGACTGCGGACAGCACAGGGATGACCAGAGACTGCGGACAGCACAGGGATGACCAGAGACTGTGGATAGTACAGGGGATGACTGCTGACCTTTGGGGAGGGGGGGGAGCGGGTACCTGAATTTGACAGATACCCGCTCCCACTTCCACGGAGTTGTTCTTTCATCTTACCTGTTTCTCTATCCAGCCGCGCGCTGTCTTCCCGGCTTCTGTAATGGCGCTCGGCATGACAGCCGGGTGCCCAGTGCGCATGAGCGAGAAGCACTTGCGCTTTGTGATTGGTCCGGCGGCTTCTGGGATCTGTCATGTGTCCCAGGTGCCGCCTTACCATTCACAAAAAGCACCGCTTCCTGCGCATGCGTACTTGGCACCCGGCTGTCATGCCCACACTACAGAAGCCGGGAAGACCGCGCGGCTGGATAGAGGAACGGGTAAGATGAAAGAACAACTCCACGGAAGTGGGAGCGGGTATCTGTCAAATTCAGGTACTCGCTCCCCCCCCCTCCCCAAAGGTCAGCAGTCATCTCTATAAGGTCCCGCTGTAGAGCTGAGCGGCCGGCCCGGTATTCTGACACGGCTGCAGTGGAAATACCGGACCGGCCGCTCCATATTCGCTCCATAAGACGCACTGACATTTTCCCCCCTTTTTTGGGGGGAAAAAAGTGCGTCTTATGGTGCGAAAAATACGGTATATGGTGGCTTCGTTCGTTTTCCATGGTCACACTGTATGTAGGAACATAACCACCCTCTTTTGTTAGCTCCCAAGATGAACTATGGAATTTGTAGAGTTCCTAGGGCAGTACACTGCTCATTGTAAATAAGCTGAGTGAGCGGAAAAAGAAGAAGAGGTTTGGGAACTCATGAAGGAAGTTACAAGGAGGCAGACAGCCACAGTGAGAAATGATTTAATGAAAAACAGATTACGGGGCCATTAAATAGTGGATGTGTATAAACTATTTTTGGAGAATAAGGATATTGTTAATTGTCACTTTAAGCATGCAACAATTTAAAGAGTGTTTTCTAATCCATTAATCACTATAAATATCAATGAGATCATGAAGAGCACATAGCAAGTACGTTCCAGGAAGTTAATAAGTTGTTTTGATGTCCTATTCAAACAAAGTGTACCTTTTTTTGGTCTCTGGCAATTTTCCTCATGTTAACACTCTGTTCTTCATTTTCATATTTTAGTGTGAAGGTGTCTAGAATCTCATAAAGCTCTTCAGCCTGGGAAGGGCGTGGAATCTCACCAAATAATATCTCATAGGCCCGAATGTCCTCCTGACAGTAAAATCTACAATAAAACAGAATTACAATACGATAGCTGAAAAAAAGAACACATTTTTCAAAAGAAAGAAGAAAGGAATTTGAGAAATGTGATAGCTGTGTGAAATTATTAGCAGATCAGAATTTTCATATGACTGCAACATCCAAGAATATGTGGTATTTTTATGCTGAAACCGCGTGACATCTAAAATTTGTACTTGGCTGAAAATATCTGGAGAAATCAAAATGATAAATGACTAGGTCTGGGGCTTATTAATCTGTGATTCCAAACTATGTCTATAATCCAAAACTTTGTCACCCTAGTGAGGCCTAAGGCCTTTACCTAACAAAGTCTTGGGCCATGGTCTGGGATCTATCATGTGAACTGCTTGAGGCATCACTTCAACCAAGTTTATACTTTATCTACAACATTTGAGAAGTAAATTTAAAATAAAAGCTTCTCAAGAATAAAAATGTATATACTTTCTTATAATTAGGTATGTGGCTGTGTGCAGAATTAACCAATCACATTCAAACTGATGTTAAACAGTAGTCAGTACACGCCTGCTATCAATGAAAATGACTCTGATTAAGCCCATAAAATGTTCAGCTGTTCTAGTGAAATATTTCAGACATTTACTCAGCAAAAGCCATGGTCTGAAAAAAAGCAGACAATGCAAGCCAATCAACAAAGGAGCTTACAAATCATCAAAGGGATCTCATTGCTAGATGATATCAGTCAGGAGAAGGGAACAAAAAAAAATTCAAAGGCAATAGATATACCATGTAACACAGAGAAGGCAGTCACCAATAAGTGCAGAAAATATGGCAAAACAGTAACATTACCATAAACTGAATGTTCCTCCCAAAATTGATGACAAAACAAGATGAAACCTGGTCCAGGAGGCTGCCAAGAGGCTTACAGCAACATTAAAGGAGCTGCAGAAATTTCTGGCAAGTACTGGTTGTGCACTACATGTGACAACAGTCTCCTATGTTCCTCATATCTTTTGGCTGTGGGGTATGGTGGCAAGATGAAAGCCTTTTCTTACTAAAAAAAAAATCATCCAAGCCCCGGCTACATTTGGAAAAAACTATATCAAGCCTGCCAAAAGAGAGTGGGAAAATGTGCGCAAAACCAAAAAAAAAACACCATACCCACAGTGAAGCATGGTGGTGGCAACATTATGCTTTGGGGCTGCTTTTCTTCAGTTGGAACTGGGGCTTTAGTCAAGGTGGAAGGGCTAATGAACAGTTCCAAATATCAGTCAATTATGGCACAAAACCTTCAGGCTAAAAAGTTTGAAGATGGAGAGGAGTTTGCCCTTTCAGCATGACCCAAAGCATACTTCCAAATCAACAAAAGAATGGCTTCATCAGAAGATCAAAGTTTTGGAATGGCCCAGACCAAAATCCAATTGAAAATCTGTGACATGAAGAGGGCTGTGCACAGGAGATGCCCTTGCAATCTGACAGTTTGAAGCACTTTTGCCAGGAAGAGTGAGCTAAGATTCCCAAGGCAAGTTGTGTCATGCTGATAGACTCCTACACAAAAAGGACTGAATGCTTTTTCTTTTTTTTTTTTTCTTTATTTTCACTTGGTAATCCTGCCAGCAACATACTCCCTGTCCTAGTGTAACAACACTAACTCACTGTAGGCTGAAGCTGCTCTTCTCATTTGGACTAAAAACACCTCTTCTTTTTCTCTCTATTACATAAGTGGAAGATGTTTCGTAATATACAGAAGATAGCTGGAAAGACTCATAAGCTTGTTTAAGCACAATGCATAGGAAGTAACAAAGACACAAGATTTCTGGCAGAATCAACTTATATTTTTTCTATATGTGCAAAAAATGTAATTAGCTTGCAAAAAGGAAACTAATGTAGCCACCACATCTAAGGACTGGTAAGCCGTAATACATTACATTTTGATTTTTGATTTTAGATATGCTTTAACTTCTCCAGGCATCCCAGCTCTGCTCTCCTGACACATTTTCTTTACCTGATTTATATGTGTTATTTAAACAATGTCCCACTTGCAGACTGGAAGACTGCACATAGGATATGTGTCCATCAACCTAGATTTGCCTCTTCTTAATTCAGCAGCCAACACAAACAATCCAACTGCCAATTAAATTTAACATTACAATTAGTATTGTATTGTGTAAGAACCAAATACTGTATGTTGTTGCCATCAACCCAGTCACATAATGCAAATGGAAACAATACTACCATAAATTGGGACTTTTAGAGCAACATGAAGAAATAACTATGTCATAAAATAACAAAGTTTCATTTAGAACACCACATCCCGGATAAAAATCGGTGTGTTCTTGATATTTGCTTCTTCTTGAAAATGCTGCCCCCCCCCCCCCCCCGAATCTTATTTATACTCTTCATGTATTTAAAGGTTTCAGTCATATTTCTATTTCTCTTCTTTCCTCCAAACTGTACATATACACATACAAGTGTATGTTTACAAGTGTAAACTCCCTTGGTTGAATTTTACGTATAGGCAAGCCTATAATAAGGCTTACCTATAGGCACAGTAAATATCACTGGTTAGGAGATATTTAATCTGACAGCAGTTGCTGACATTACTGGCGCATGGGCTCTGGAGGAATGACAGAGCCCTGTGCTGTAAAGAGTGATTCCCGAACGCATGCTATACATACTGCCGAGGCCCGCAAACCCAGGAGGGCAAGGCGCCACTGGAGGGCTTCATTTCAGGTAAGTCTGTCATAATATGCTAGTATGCGATGACTTAAACTGCCTGGGGCCCCAATTTTTTTTTTTTTTGCTGCGGTTTACTACTGCTTTAAGCTTCTCTAGTCCCTCCTGTTTTATCTATCAGAATTGTCACCATTTTTGTTGCCCATCTCTGAACTTGCTCTGTTCTATTATCTTTTTTAGGTGAGGTCTCCAGAACTAGATACACTTTTCTAATTGAGGTTCAACTAGAGATCTACAGTATATAGGGGAACCTTTGCCTCTTTCCTCCTGCTGGCGATAACTATTGTGATAAAAACCCAGAATTCTATTTGTATTCCCTATTGATAGGCCACACTGTTTGCCCATTTTGCAATAATCTCAATAACCATTTGCCAACCACCCTATAACAGTTTGAGTGCTACAGGGCGGCCGCTCTGTGCAGAATTCTCTATTCTCTCCCTTCCCCCTCTTCCCCTTCTCTTTTTTTTCAGCAAATTATCAAATCCACTATGCCACTTATGGTCTGATTGGAGACCAATCAATACCTTTCAATTTATGTTACTTACTAAGTATATATACATTTTTTGTGTTTTTTCCCTTTTGTTTATGATGTTCGATTTATGCCTCACTTTTCATGTGTCTGGTGCACATCGTAGATCTATGTCTATATACTATTGTTATGTTTGGCATTTAGCTAAACAATACAATTTTGGTTGATAATATCAGCTTTTATAACCTGTTTTCAACAGACTGTAATGTCATTACATGATGTCCCTGCTTCCCCGATGTGCCTCCATGTCTGGACACCCACTCTGACGCAATTTGTTTCCTCTGATGACTAACTACGCAAACATGTGTTTTTATGGCAGTAATTGTAAGTGCATATTTGTCCAATTTATGTTTTTGGATGCTTATTTTCTTTTTTATTATTTTTAATTTTGTGGTTTAGGATTATGTATATCTGCATATACAGTTCAACAATTAAATTTTGTTTTATTGTTGATGCACCTTTTCATGGCGCCTGAAGAAGCGACTGAAAGTCGCGAAACCACGTAGAGCCACTGTTCAGTTGAGGTTGTACTAGCTCTGAACCATGACAATATACCCATGTTCAATCAACTACAAGATCATCCTAACCATCGGTGATCCATTTTTGGTAGCAATTAGGTTATATGGTCATATAGGAGCGGTAAGATTTCAAATGCTACAAATATTGAGGTGCAATTTCCTGTTGTTGTAAATTGTAGTACTTATTTAGTATTATATTTTAGAAAGCATTGCAATTTGTTGTAACTATGTGATTTGTCAATAAAGAGAATGAAGATTTTATATAAAAAAAATTATGTTAAATGCATATAAGGTCCATTCAGTTGCAATCACATTTTTGTTAGTCTTCCTAGGACGTGGCAGAGTGTATGAGTTTTTATTCATAGTACCACCATTACACCCTTCATTTATAACCATTACAGTCACAAAAAAAACACAACACGCAAATTGTATAAATGCATTAAAAAAAACATCAAAAAGGCAATAATTGCATTTTTGGTGCAGTTCCATTGAAGTCTATTACACACAAAACACAATCAGCTGTGGGGAAAAAAAAAAGTCCCTGACATTTCCAAAAATCCACACGGTTCAAAATGCACATGTGAACTAGATCCATAGAAAATCATGGTAAATGAACTGTTGTGTGTTTCTGAAAACTGGAAAACGCACTGAAATCGGCATAAGTGTGAACCTAAGGTAAATAAATTTTTAGATAAGTATCTACCGGTACTCCAGCAAAATGTGTCTTTGTGAAATCTAAAACTTTGTTTTTGTATGTAAATTTTCATTATGTATTCTAATATCAAACCAAAGACACTGCTGAACACTAAAATCCAAGTATTCTTCCACCTCACCATCAGACAATTGATTCCCATTTGTCAGTACTAGGTCTAGAATATGATCCCCTCGAGTTGGGCTTCTTACTAACTGTTTTGGAGAAACCTCTTTAAATTCCTCCAACATATCTATACTTCTGCTTGTAAGCACAGTTTGAAAATGCCAGTTAATGTCCTGCGTGTTGAAATTACCCATAATTAAAACCTCTCTCTTCTCTATCATTTGAGCAATCACATCACTCAACAAGTTATCATAATTCTCAGACTGTCCTGGGGGCCTGTATACTACACCAGTTCAAAGAGAAGATGCCTCTCCTGATTGTAGACAGACCCAGAGGGTTCAAGTAGTTAATTTATTTCCTAAATTAATGTTCGTTTGTGATATTTTTTCTCTGCAATCTGAATCTAATTGGTGGCTGTGGGGAAATAACTCTAGTTTTATGTACACACATTTTAATATATCAAGCACCAGGTGTTTAGAGAAAGATATCTTGCCAAAGGGACAGAGATACTTGTCATTAGAATTTCAACAGTCAGACCTACATTACTCTTGTTATATTGAACTTGTTAATCATTTACTACAAACCGTTATGGGAAAAAAGTGTAAACCCAAAATGGATTTTTGCATCATCTCTCATTGTATACATTTTTTTACATTAATCATTTTTGTGTATCTGTCACAAACCTTTCCTACCTGGACATCCTGCCAGGTAAGAAGCAGCACTCTTCCTGTTGCAGGCTGACAACACTAAGCTACTGCGGTTGATTTACTAAAACTAGATAGCACAAAATTTGGTGCAGGGGTGCCTTCATTTGGCCATTTGGTAGCCTATCATGGTTTGCAGGAGATTTTCAAGGACCTGACAAAGAACCCTACCACCAACTGAATAAGCACACATGGTCTATTACTAACATCATCTCCATGTAAGAAACTTTGCAACAGATTAAAAATATATATTTACTTAAGGAAACAGAGTTGGATACGATGCCAAAAACATTGAAAAAATAAATATAGCATTTCATACTATATAGGTTTGCCACTGTGCAGCAAGCTCCATAAATCGTATTCTTTCTGCTGTCTTGCTCCCTTACTGTGGGGATCCACAGCTGGAAATTCAAGATTCCTGTGAAATTTTGACTTTCAACAAAGGACTAAGCAAGCAGACCTAACAGTCCCCTGCCACTGCCTTCAGCACCAGCAATAGAACACTACAACCCTCCAACCCCCCTCAACTAACACAGCCTCTCACAGAAAAAAAGGGGGATAGATTTTTTTAAAGTGACACTAAACTAAACTTATTTTTTTATATCAATTGTTCTAAAATATTAAGTATACCATGGCTCTGTTTTTTTCTTACTATAACTATTACTATTGTTTTCAGACTAGTACGTTTCTTACTAGTGTTTTCAGACTTCTTCCCTCGTTCCCTATTCTCCACCAATGCTCCTCACAGCTTCTAGTGTAGAGAGTGAGCAGTGCTGTTATTTCTGGTCATATGCTCTGCCCTATGTGTACTACAACTCCCGTTGAGCTGAATGTGTTTGCACGTAGTTGTGTAGTCCATCTCAGGGGTGAGCAGAAGGTGGCTACATTTACATACACAAGGGGGCATGTAGAGTAAAAATAGCCACCTTAGAACAGAAGGTCTGAGAACAGCCTAAAAGGTTTGCATTTGATAGATGAAATAAAGAAAAAAAAAGGGATAGAAGGTACATTTTACTTATAAAAATAAAAAAGATATGGTGCCTTTCCTCCAAGCTAAATTGCTACCCGTGCAAAATCATAATTCCATTAACATAATACCAAAAGTGAAATAAACAAAAAATTTAGTGAGACTTTGTTTACACCTGCACCATATAGGTGTGTTGCAATATTTTTGCAGCTGCCCCTTTAAGAGCACCTTGTGGCGCTCCTAGTTGTAAAAGTGAAACTATAAGTGGAAGCTTACATACCCCATAGACACCCCACACTCAATATCTGAATATCATAAACCAAATGAAAATAAAAAGGAATAAAAGAAATATGGCGCCTTTCCTACAAGGTAATTTACTACCTGTGCAGAACCATAACAACATTCACATAATACCAAAAATTAAATGCAAATATAATTAAACCTTAAGTACATCTGCACCATATAGGTGTTTTGCAATATTTGTATTGCTGCCCTTTTTAAGAGCACCTAGTGGTGCTCCTAGTTGTGAAAGTGAAACTATAAAGTGGGCGCTTACACTCCCCTCAAACACCTCGCACTCTATCTCCAAATACCATAAACCAAAATAACAAATACAATAAATGGTGCTACATGCAGTCCAACACCAATATGGAAATGCTTCCTCGCTTTTCCTCCGATTATCACTTGTCCTATGTACCACGTCTCTCCATCAATGTCACCCAAGGACCACAAAATTGGGAGCTTCCTGAGGATGTACACAACGAAACACATAGAGGCTGCTTACAGTTTATCCAGTCATATCCCTACGTTACTTCCGGTTTTCAGTATTTGGAACGCAGGCCAAGGTCCAGGAAGTGGAATGGTGGTGCACAGACGTTGAGTGTATTGGTGCCAAGATATTGGGCACCACATTTTGTAAGTGTAAAATTTAATACTTCTTATTGCCAAGTTTTAATTAAATACTGCACAATGACAGACTCTGCTTTTGTGGTCCTTGGGTGACATTGATGGAGAGACAACGGGTACATAGGACGATTGGAGTAAAAGTGAGAAACAGCAGTTGGAGAGCATCTGGGGCAAACAGAGCTTTATGACCTTTTCTTACAAATAAGAGGGTCATGGATCTTTGATGAGAGCATTGTGGTGACACAGGAGGTGAAGCACTTTGGGAAGATTCGGTGGCACAGAAACAGTATTTTCACATTGGTATTTTGGACTGCAAGCAGCCCCATTTATTGTTTATGTTATTTTGGTTCATGGTATTTGGAGATTGAGTGCAGGGTGTTTGTAGGGAGTGTAAGCGCCCACTTATAATTTCACTTTCACATTTTACTTATATTTAAACATTATTACATTTATTTTATAAAAAAATGTTATAGTGTCAATTTAAGGTCTCGTTCACACCATACGTGCAGAAAAACTGATGGAAAATGATATGCAGATTTCACTTGCAGAGACATCAGTCTACATCAGTTTTCATGCACTCTTCAATTAGTTTTATACACGTTGCAGATTCCTGCGCAGAAAAAAATCTGCATGTGACACTAGTGTTGTGGTGTGAACAGGGCACATAGAGAACAGTTGATTTTGCTGTGACCTTGCAGAATGCGTGCAGAAACACAGATGTCTCTGCATCTTGGTGAGAACGAGCCCTAAAAGGAAAAAAATAATAACTGCATCCCTGATCTCTTTCCACTAATATACTGAATGTCTGTTCTGAACTGCTTGGGCCCAGATCATTTTTTTATGTACAGCTGAGTTATGAGGTTGGGCTTTACTTGTACTATTTGTCATTGTTAACAACTCAATGACACTGAATGCTGTAACTTTGTATACCACAGAATTGGTAATGAGAATTTTCAATTACCTGTATACTCTGTCCTCCTGTAAATCATATTGAATAGGATAAAATAAAAAAACTACAAAAATTGCCAAATCTCTAAAACAAAAAAATGAGTCCTTTGTTGGCTGGAAAGGCTGTAAAACTGGTGGTTACAGAATTACAATACCCAAAATGTTGTGTTTATACACATTTATCATGCAAGAGAACATAAATGTACATATCTATGAAACTTTGCCATGTAGATGTAACACGATGATAAGGAATCAAAGTCACAGGTTGCTATTTTTGATGTCGCTCCCAGATGCCTCTCGAAATCTCGGTATCGAAAATTATGCACACCTGCTGCACTCCACACGTTTTATAACCATGATACACAGTGTTCAGTTATTTAACAGACTTTCATAAACATATTTTCTATTACTCAAGAAATAGGGCACTGATAATGCACATTATGGAACTTAAACAAAATATTTAGCATCCAAGGTTAAACTAAGTATAAAATATATTTAGCAGCAGAAATGCCAGTTTGAAAACAGCAACTTGTGACATTCGGAGGCTTTAGTAACTACCCTTCACCTTTCTCCTCTAGTGTGGAGCTGAGATACTATAAGGTAAAGCAATTTCATTTTAAGCCAGAAATTTTCATTTTAAGTCAGAAAATCACAGACTCTGCCTTGCCTAATCCTAAATGAGCTCTAAGGACAGAGAGGAATCAAAAGCATGGAGAGATATTTTTTTGAGAAAAAAATACTGATCTAAACATTTTAGTCTTAAAAATTAACTTATGAAATGGACAGTAATTGTGGTACTGTATAGCAAAGGGGAAAAAAAGCGTGTTTAGCAAACTTACTTGCGATTGGTTTCCTTTCTTTCAATCAAACCAGACCCTTCCAAAGATATTCCGGCAAACAGTCCCCTGGATTTTACAATATGTGTACACTGCTGCAGAACTTCGAATAGCGACATCTCCTTCCAAATTTCTGAAATATCATCAGAAAAACACTAATCAGTATGGAAAACCCAGCAGCTTTGTTAAACAGGATTTATTAGGATCTCTGAGGATAAAAGAAGGACTTTTACATACAATAAACAATGTCCTTCTCACCTGTGGGAAATATGTGGACAAATAAAAATCTTCAACACCTTTGTGTTCCTATTTTCAAGAGACAGACATCTGTCTACATACAATATCTATGTACAGTCATGGCCGAAATTGTTGGCACCCTTGATATGAAAATCAAGTATTTCACACAAAAAAGGTATTGCATTAACACATGTTTTGCTATACACATGTTTATTCCCTTTGTATGTATTGGAACAAAATATAAAACAGAGGCAGAAAAGCAAATATGACATAATGTCACACAAAACCCCAAAAATGGGCTGGACAAAATTTTATTGGCACCCTTAACTTAATATTTGGTTGCACACCCTTTGGAAAACATAACTGAAATCAGTCGCTTCCTATAACCATCAATAAGCTTCTGACACCTCTCACCCGGAATTTTGGACCACTCTTCCTTTGCAAACAGCTCCAGGTCTCTCTTATTGGAAGGACACCTTTTCCCAACAGCAATTTTAAGATCTTCCACAGGTGTTCAATGGGATTTAATCTGGGCTCATTGCTGGCCACTTCAGAACTCTCCAGCGCTTCTTTGCCATCCATTTCTGAGTGCTTTTTGACGTATGTTTGGGGTCATTGTCCTGCTGGAAGACCCAGGATCTTGGACGCAAACCCAGCTTTCTGACACTGGGCCCTACAGTGCGACCCAAAATCCTTTGGTAATCCTCAGATTTCATGACTTGCACACAGTCAAGGCACCCTTGCCAGAGGCAGCAAAACAACCCCAAAACACCATTGAACCTCCACCATATTTTACCGTAGGTACTGTGTTTTGTTCTTTGTAGGCCTCATTCCGTTTTCGGTAAACAGTAGAATGATGTGCTTTACCGAAAAGCTCTATCTTGCTCATCTGTCCACAAGACGTTTTCCCAGAAGGCTTTTGGCTTACTCAAGTACATTTTGGCAAACTGTAGTCTTGCTTTTTTATGTCTCTGTGTCAGCAGTGGGGTCCTCCTGGGTCTCCTGCCATAGGTTTCATTTCATTTAAATGTCGACGGATAGTTCGCGCTGACACTGATGCTCCCTGAGCCTGCAGGACAGCTTGAATGTCTTTGGAACATGTTTGGGGCTGCTTATCCACCATCCGGACTATTCTGCGTTGCAATCTTTCATCAATTTTCCTCATCCGTCCACGACCAGGGAGATTAGCTACAGTGCCATGGGTTGCAAACTTCTTGATAATGTTGCGCACTGTGGACAAAGGCAAATCTAGTTCTCTGGAGATGGACTTGTAACTTGAGATTGTTGATATTTTGCCACAAAGGTCCTCAGACAGTTCTCGTCTCCTCTTTCTGTTGTCCATGCTTAGTGTGGCACAGACAGACACACATGCAAAGGTTAAGTGAACGTCTCTCCTTTTTATCTGCTTTCAGGTGTGATTTCTATATTGCCCACACCTGTTACTTGCCCCAGGTGAGTTTACAGGAGCATCACATGCTTGTAACATTCTTATTTATCCGCAGTTGTGAAAGGGTGCCAATACTTTTGTCCAGCCCATTTTTGGAGGTTTGTGTGACATTAGTCGAATTTGCTTTTCTTTCCTCCCTTTTTTTGTTTTGTCCCAATACACACAAAGGGAATAAACATGTGTATAGCAAAACATGTGTTAATGCAATACGTTTCGTGAGAAATACATGATTTCCTGGAGAAATATCAAGGGTGCCAACAATTTCGGCCATGACTGTATCATACAGGATCTATAATTTTAAGAGTAAGGAGAGTTGGATTTTAGTGTTGCCAAAGGGTGTCTTTGTGTGTCTCTAGTCCAAAGTAAGCTAATCTCTCCATTCAGCATGTTTTATCTAATAGTTTCCAAAAGGGAAGTTCCGCTTTAATGCACTGTCCCTCGCTCCCGATAAGGATTGGCACCTTTGGCTCCTACTTCCGCTGCAATTGCCTAAGGCATTGTCCTCCCTCCCGGTAGTATTCTGGGACACGTGACAGGTCCCAGAAGACTACAGGGCCATTCACAAAGCGCAGCGCTACTCGCATGCGCAGTGGGCACACAGCTGTGGAAGAGCAAGCTGTCAGCCAGGTGCTCACACTGAAGATGCAGGCGCCGGGGAGAGAAGACAGCTTCAATAAAACCAGCCATGGTGAGGATTCCGCTGGACCAAGGGACAGGCAAGTGTCTGTATTTTAAAAGTCAGGAGCTATAGTTTTTGTAGCTGCTGACTTTTATTTTTCTTTAAATCAACTGGAACTTCACTTAACTACCCTTCTCTGTTAATCCTCCTCCCCAGTGTAAAAAGCAAATAACTGACCTTGGTGTATGAAAAGAAGTTACACTAGGAAGGGGAGGCATTTGGACAGTGGCTAAATAAAAATGTTTGATCACTTCATACGAGCTTTGGCAGGAAGAGGGGGAACAAGGTTATTGTAGCAATCATGCACACAGAGATGGATGGGAACCTCCATTTTGGCAAAGGACTGTCCATCTTGTATAATTATCTCTCTCTCCCTCTTTCCCCATCCCCCTCCCTCTCTGTTGAGTGACATGTGGTCGGTGTGTGTTATTAGAGATCACAGGCAGCAAAGCTCAGTGGAAGGGCGTCAGGACTATAAAACCCCCCAGCCGAGCAGGTGCCTAGGTACCTATTAGCTCGCAATTTGGGATATTGTAAAAGTGTAAACCAAGTCCCTCACTGAACTTCAAAAGACCTTCCAAGGGGTCATAAAAACAGACTTACTTTTAAAAACTCACTTTTTCATATAGGTTGGTATCTTCAAATAGGACATAATTACACAAACATGGAGCACATATGCGGACGGCTGACGTTAATACAAATTCCCTGGTATATTACATCCCCTATCTGACATATACCGGAGAGAGCAGAAAATTATATCTCCTGAACCGTTCAAGTGAATATTTCATATTTCATATCTAACTGTTCAGCAGGAGATTCTGCGTAATAATCTACTCATGGACAGGATGTTGTATGTATCCAGGGTAAATTATGAACCATAATATAAGCTAGGAGAGTTTTTGTTCTAGCTTGGGTCTCCACCCCAACACCCCTCCCCAAATGAGGCGATTGGTTCTCTGCTGTAAGAAGACACCCTGCTGAGATCCTTGAAAAAGGCTGTTATGCTTGGAGTTGTGATGTGTGTAAGAGTTGAAGAATCTCCTGTTTTAACATCAAAACTAACAGTGGAAGATCAAAGCATCCTTTTGGCTCTGAAGCTTGGAAGCTGCTTAACCCAGGACACGTGGCAAGTGCTTTAACCCTCTAACTTCTCTCTGTTATCTCTTTGCTGTGCTATTGTTCTTTGCATATTTATATATATATTGGCTACATCTTTTTCTGTAAATATTTTTATTGCACCCTTTTGAGCTTTTAGTAATAAATCTTACTTTCTGAAAGTGTTGAACTGTTTCTAAAGCTCGCTAATGCAAATTACGAATTCCTGCCGCTGAAGAGCGCTACTGTGCGTGTTTAACCCTCTATATAACCTGCCTGCAGTGACAGTGGTATACAGACGATTATCTAACCATCATAGTGTTATTGCTAATGTTGCCGAGTTTCCTCTTTCTCTGTACAAAAAGGAGGTGGTGGCAGTGTGAAGGGTTAATTGCGTAATTAAACTGACCCAGTAACAATCGCTTCCAGGCTGCCGGTACACAGACTGTGGTCCATTAGCTGGAAAATCTGTGTGCAGGGTGCAGCTGGGCGTGGCATTATTACGCACATGACAGCGTGGTTTTAGATTGGCTAGTCCTTTAGTCACGAGTTTGGTGAGAAGGTCTGGGGTCTGACGCCGCGATCGTCACAGTTATAGCTACATGCTAGACAGCTGCCTCAATCCTCTAAGTACTAGCCTTACTGCATGATATTCTGATGTATATTAAAATGTTACAAAAATAAACATTTGTACACATGTATAAAATATTACCATTAACCTAACAAGGTAGGGACATTCTGGCCTACCCTCTGAGATTATTTTGAATTAACACAATGGTCATCTACTCTGCTTGATATCTTCTGAATGTTCTGATTTACAAAGAAGCAACAGGATATAAGTGTGCATGTTTGTATTATAGGCAAATTGAGTATAATTATGTCCTGGAAATCCCTTAAAACTTCATGTTATGACCACTGCTTGCAAAGGCAGCAGCTGAATTGCAATTTTAGCATGATTGATGATTTGCAACCTTGGACAGGGGAAGAAAAGTTGTTGATATTCTGGTACAGTAGTGGGGCCACTCTAGTCTTGACACTGGGAATTATTTAGTGCCATAGTTCTGACAAAACAGCAACACTTAGGGTAGTGGCTGTGAATTACGAAACATATTTACCATTGTGGTAAAACCAGAAGTGTAAGTTTGATCTGTACTAAGTAATAAACAACAAGGAGGTTGTATGAGAACTCTGCATCAGCGTAGACCCTGTAAATCTGTATCTTCCATTAAAATCCTCTATGATATGAGTGCATATGTGTTAGCCTTAAAAGACCGGAGAAGTGCCTAAGCAGAACAGTTACTGCTTCTTGACACTCAGCTATAATCTGAACATCAAGGGGCCTATTTACAAACAGGTGGTATAATAAAATGTGCATGTCATTTTCCCATGGATCAATTTTGGGAACCTGAGCGCTAGTCTTTTACACAACATTCATATGGAATCACACAGATGTCTAGCATTCTGGAAAAACAGTGGAGTGGTCTCTGAAAAAAGCTGATTTTAGGAAAGGTGATATATATTTTTTTGTAAAAGTGGTTTACATGACTATTGGACCCTTCAGAAATAGCCATTACTATATTTTAGAATATCTGAAAACATAAGTTAATCAAAGCTATTTAAATCCCAAAATAAAAATAGGTCCCAGTCTTTTATTTTATAACTTATTCTCTTTACCTTCCTAAAGGTCCAATGGCCACTGTGAAATTCCCTCCGAGAGTGAGGTTGCCACCTTTGGCAAAAGCTTCCACTGCTCTTTTGTGATTTAAAATGATAACTAAATCAGACACCTGTATAGTAAAGACACATAAAACACAATTACTTTTAAAGAATAGTCTTCATAACGCAGTGGCTTTTTTAGTTTAAACACACATACTAATCCAACAATATGAAAAGTATTTTCTGACAAGGTACAAGTTTGGTACAAGTTGGAAATGTGACAATGAACAGCACCTTTTGCATGACACAGTGCCTCGATCTTTTGTCTCAGTTTGGGATGTACCACTGAGTCCATATCAATGCAGGCAACCAGTGACCTAGTGTGTGGTAGGTGTCAATTAGATAACTGCATGGAAAATAGTTGTGTATAGCAGTGCTTTTTTTTCTGTCTGTGCCAGTATGACCAATGGCAACATACCCACAGACAGTGGGAGAAAGGGCAGACATACCAGTAATTGCAGAACACCATAACATGCCATTAATAATCACAACATAAAACAAAATTTTTAGCTATCTAATTAATGAAGTCATATTGCATTGCTCAACAGACAAACACTGGGTGCAACTGATTCATTCCAAGCTTAATACAAAGGGATATGATTGGCAGAATCATTACTGCAAGTGATTTATAAAGGCAGGCATAACATCAAGTGTCATTCAGATCCCTGACAGAATCAGTACCTGTTTTACTGCAAACAGAGGCTCTGCCTCTTTCTGATTTTTGCACAATAAACTGAGTAAAAACTACAAATCACATTTCAGGGACAATACACATCTTCCATACGTTGAGAAAAAAGTGGGAGTCCTTTAAAACCTGCACTGTTGTGTGCTGACAGCCCATTTAAAATAGACTTCCTTACTTCAAGGCATTTTAACATGTGTGCTCTGCTAACATATGAAAGTGGCATAAAAGTATACTGTATGTAAAACTCACTTCAGTTTACCAGTCCTTAGGTGAGGTTTCTGCTTTTTTCACCTAGTAATTATTAACCATTTCAATACCGAGCAATTTTACCCTTTCCTGCCCAGGCCATTTTTCAGGTTTCAGCGCTCTCACACTTTGAATGACAATTGCGCGGTCATACAACATTGTAACCAAACTAAAATTTTATCATTTTCTTCACACAACTAGAGCTTTCTTTTGGTGGTATTTAATCACCGCCAGGGTTTTTATTTTTTGCTAAATTAACAAAAAAAGACCAAAACTTTTGAAAAAAACACAAGTTTTTCTGTGTTTCTGTTATAAAAATTAACAAATAAATAATTGTTCTTCATAAATTTAGGCCAAGATGTATTCTGCTACATGTCTTTGGTGAAAATAACCCCACTTAGGATGTATTTTTTAGTTTGTAGGAAAGTTATAGAGTTCACAAACTATGGTATAGATCTGAAAATTGATCAATCCCGAAGTACTGACAGCCAATCTAATTTCTTGAGGTCCAAGAATGTCAGAACAGTACAGATATCCCCCAAAAGACCCCTTTTTGTAAAGTAGACAGTAAGACGTACTTCATAAGAGGAATGGCGAGTTTTTTGAAGTTGTATTTTTTTTGTCATAATTTTTCGAAAAATGAAAAAATTAAAACATTTTTTTTTTTTTTTTTTAACATACTGTCGCCAGTGCAGTACAGCATCATCATATAACTGGCATGGTGGTGAACAGGGACACTGACTGGTGACAGTATGAAAAAAAAAAAAAAAAAAAATATATATATATATATATATATATATATATATATATTTTTTTTTTTTTTTTTTATTTATTTATTTATTTTTAATTATTTTTAATTGTTTATTAAATTTTTTTTTTTTAAGATTTTTTTTCATATTTTACTATGACCAAAGTAGTACAATGTTACCATAGTAACATTGTACTACTTTGAGGAAGTGATCAGTATTTTTTTTTTTTTTTTTTTTTTTTTTTTTTACACAATTTGCTTGTAGCAAAGAATTACTTTGCTATAAGCAAGCATTTACCTAAATGACATTGATGCATTCAGGTTTTTGTTTTTTTTTTGTGCTTAGCTGTGATTTGGCCACAGCTAATCACATGACATGTGCATGTGACGTGCTGTGACCATTCACAGCTAGACACTAGTATACAATGGATGGCATGAATGAAGCCATCCATTGTATACAACTGTCATGTGACCTGCTGTGATTGGTCACAGCAGGTCATATGGTACCGGCAACAGGGGCCGGTACTCAGATCTGCCATCGGGGTACACGGTCGGTGACAGATTGCGCCGCTGCGCGGCTCTGCAACTGTGTGAACTGCGCATGTGCGGGAGGACGCCGAATGGCGTACACCCCGGAAAGCTAATGCATTTTTTACGGCCGCCAAACGGCTATAGGCCGGGTGGCTAATGGTTAACAAACTTTCTCTCCTAGGGTTACAACAGTCACTTATGCACTGTAGCTAGAGAGGAGTAGGGTTGCCACCAAAGGACAGGCAGTGTGTCAGGACCACAGAAAATTCCTCTCTCATTTCCATAACATCGAGTAGATGTGTTCTGTAGTAGAGACAGAACTGGCCTAGGCTGAAACACCGCTTCCGTGCCACCCTATAGCAGAAATACTGCTACAGGGCAGCACAGCTGTGTAAAATCACGTATATATAGGTAAATTTGTATTTCTGAGTAGGGGGCGTGCACGCCATTTGCGGCCTTGGCTGTCAATCACCAGGTCCTGGCCGGTGATTTCTCACCAGCACCCAGTGATCACCGAGTATTTCCAACAGGGGAGAGACCTGTGTATAAACAACACTGATCTCTCCCCTGTCAGCTCCTGCACACTGTTTTATACGCCGCTGCATAGCAGAGCCATACAAAGCAGTGTACTTACAGTGAAACACAGACACAGCCTCTTAGTAAAACAGCACACAGTAAAACAGCACACAGTTAACCCTTTGATTGCCCCACATGTTAACCCCTTCCTACCCAGTGCCATAAGTACAGTGTTAGTGCTTTTTATTAGCACTGATCACTGTATTGGTGTCATTGCGGATGTCAGTGACGCCAAGTCAGTTCCCCCCAGTGTCAGAATACCTGCCGCAGTTCCGCTATATTACTAGTAAAAAAATAAATAAAATCCAGTATATATACTCCCATTTGTAAACGCTATAACTTTCACATAAACCAATTAATTTACATGTATTGGGATTTTTTTTTTTTTTAGCAAAGACATGTCGCAGAATAGATTTTGGTCTAAATTTATGATGAAATCTTATTTCTGGACATGTTTCATAGCAAAAATTAAAAAATATTGTTTTTTTCTCAAAATTGTTGGTCTTTTTTTGTTTATAGAGCAATAACTAAAAAATGCACAGGAGATCAAATACCACCGAAAGAAAGCTCCATTGGCGGGGAAAAAAAGGACATATATTTCATTTGGGTGCAGTTTTGCATGCCCACACAATTGTCAGTTAAAATAATGCAGCACCATATCGCAAAAAATGGGGGTAAATCCTCTGGAGGGAAAGTGGTTAGATAACACAAGCAGAGTATACAAGAACTGCTTGAATTTCTTATTATTGTGCTTTTCCAACAGATATAACAAAAAGATTATATTGATATATCTAACTGACCAAGAGGGGTCGAATAAGGGAAGTTCATTATTAGGGATTACATACACTTTACTGTAAATTCCACTTTTGCTGATATTATAACATAACATACATACAAAAAAATATTTTTTAAGTGAAACATAATTAAAAAACAATTACAATTCAGTTTCAATTAGGAGTCCTGAAATGTTGCTTCCAGGCAATATAGCAATCTGGGTGCATTTATTTGCCAAACTCCCCTAGACTTTCCTTCTTGAAAGATCACCTCACTGCTTTTCTCAAAAAGTAAAGTACAAGTCAAATTCCATACAACTTCTGCTATGGTTACATTTGGTGAACTACCTTCTAAGGTCTTGTGATAAATCTCTGCTTATTCACTGCTGTCAGTACAGTGTTGCAGGTTTTTACAATTAGAGGCTGGTGACATCAGGGCTTGAGAGAGGGGGATACAGGCTAAGAAAGCCTCTGACACTCCCAGAAGTGCTGGAGGTGGAAGAAAAGTACAGGGTTCTTTTTTATTAAAAGTCATAGCTATTAAGTATACAAAAGGTAGCAATAGTAAGTACGTATTTCTTACATTTTATCTTATAAGCAACCTGCAAAGTAATAGGTGGTTACAGGAATACTTTAAAATTGTTCCTTCTTGTTATTCTAAGATGGCAGGCATAGTACTGCATAAATATAATTGTTTTCGTAGATTTAGAAATGTGTGGTAATCAGAGGCGTAGCTAGGATATTTTTCACCCGGGACAAACGGCAACCTCATGACACCCCCCCCCCCCCCCGCTTCATAAGGTCCCTGTAGACACCCCCCGTCCCGATCACATTGCCCCCCCCTTCATCCATGGCACTACTCACCTGGCTCGGCTCTCCCCTCGTCCCCTCCGGCACATGCCCGGCTCACTGCCCTCCCCTCCACTCCTCTCCCGGCCGGCTCCCCTCTCCTCTCATAACCAACTGTAGATGGCAGACGTATCAGATGATACGTCTGCTGCAGCCGCTGCAGTGATCTCGTGACCTCATTTTGGCATCCCTGTACCTTGGCGCCCGGTACCCCCCCCCCCCCCACGCTACACCTCTGGTGGTAATGTGGTCTGTGTCTTATATGCCAAGACTACTCTGCAGACCCAATGTTGTACTATCCAGAAGTCAGGTTTTATTTTATGCATATTATTTTACACACACATCTAGTAATTCCAGCAGTGAACTGAAATTCTCAGACTTTCAATGAGAAATATAAATACACATAATTATTTAAAAAAGGAAAAAAATAATTTCCCTTGTTTCCGGCCACCCATCCTAGTAGTAAGTTACCAATCTTCTGAGCACATTGTATAATTCACCCAGGATTTCCGCACATAACGTTCCCTAAATTAATTTATATTGTTAAGAGACAGCTAACTAAACATACACAATTCATTTCTGTATTTTCTTTGGATACATGATTGGTTTTGAATAACATACAGTATATGATATGCACATTATGTTCTTTGCGGATTGAATACA